CAAGTAGCTTCCCCTTGTACGAACCTCGCAGGTGAGTGTCGTCGAGAATGATGCGCCAATTCCCCACCTTGCCATTCCCACTCAACGACTGTACCGGGATTCGCCATTTAAAGGGCGGCAAAAAACCTGCAAATTATAAAAGGTAACCATAAATAAATAAATAAATAAATATAATTACAAACAACACGGAAATACATTAATAATTAAGTGGAAGCCGCACCCGCACAAAACTATGATGCGCCAATTCCCCATCTATGTGCTTATAGTTCTAAGTGGAAGCCGCACCCGCACACGAGGGAGATATTGATCTTCTCTCTTTTATCTAGATTTTATTTATTTTTATTAGTATGTAAGACTAGTATTTTTATCCAGTTTTAGGGGATGTTGAACCCTAACTTTGATTTGTCTATGAATTGAAGGATTTATTTTTATCGCTTGGTTAATTAAGACGTCCTATTTATTTTTGTTGATGAGTTGATTCATGTTATCTATGTTTAATGTTTATGAATTATGATGTTTGATTTAGTTTGGCCAGCTACGTTGAATATTCATTGCTTAATTGCTAGAGACAAGACTTTAATCCGTAATTGTTATTGTCTTGTTTCGTTAGTAGTAAACTAGGGGTCGTGCATCCTTAGGGTAGCGTGAACATAAGTTAAATGGTCCGAGCTTACGCGTCCATTGCTTAGACTGATCTATTTTCCTAGAGATTAATGCTGCTAGTGTACTAAATCTAGAGAGCTTATTCTAGGTTGTCCACTGGTTAGGTTTAGTCGAAGAGCCTATTTCGATTAAATATTCGGTAAGGGAAAATTCGGTTAACAGAGCTTGTTGTTAGCTAGGGTCGGTAATTCATTAGCAATTGAAAGAAGGCGTTGAAATTGATTAACGGTAGATTTAGATTGGGGTGATAACTGAACCGAAAACTGGACTTCTCTTATTTTTATTTTATGTTGTTATTTTTATTTTATCAAAACAATCCCCCCATTTACTGCTTTCTTAGTTTTAATTCGATTAATACAAAAAATTGTCACGACTTAATTTCTGCTCCTCGTGGGATCGACCCTTGCTCGCCACTACTACTAGTTAGTAGAGGTTAGTTGAGGAAAATTTATAAATTTAAATTTGCCGCGTCGCGACGCGCGGTCAAATTTTGGCGCCATTGCCGGGGAGTGGCGCAATTGAGTTGTGATATTTTGTAGTGTTAATTGACTTAGGTATTAGATTAATATTTACTTTATTTTATTTTTATTTGACTCTCTTAATCCCCCTATTTTTATTTTCCTTTTGCAGGTGGTATTTGTTATAAATGGATGCGTATTGGAGCTCGGATTGTGCTTACGCTTACGATTCATATTATGAAATAAAAAAGAGGGAAATAAGAGACCAACAACGTGAGGTTAGGATGTCGGGTATGATCCAAGAAGCCATTGAGAGTGTTCGTCAAGTTCTAAGGAGACCATGTAGTCTATGTCATACCACAAGACATGTCACCGATGATTGTCCACTTTTATTAGAGAGGTATGGTGCATGCAGAACTACCGAGAGATATTGGTATCGATGAGACGATTGGGCGTATTCAAATTTTTATGGGAACCATTACAGTTGGGGCGAACGTGGAAATTCATTCTATGAAAATCCACAATGTTCTCAATCGTATGAGCCTATTTATGAGCACGATGACCCTCACTTCCGCTATGGAGGCTCACAATATTTTTCAGAACCTTCGCTTGAACAAGAGACTAGTCCGTCATTGATGGAGTTATTTGAGGAGTGTCAAAATTCTTTGATGGCTAGTAGCAAAGCGATTGGTGATGTATTGAGCGAATTGGATGCCCGAGCCAAGAGTCGGCTATTATCTCAAGCCGAAGCCGGCCATGATGATGTCGGAGACCTGAGGATGTGCAGCGACACAGAGCCTGAGGTGCTGGACGAACGTAATTTTGAGCTGAACGGCAAAGAGAATGAAGAAGAAGGCAATGAGGAGCAAATTTTTGCTGATGTCGGCCCCCCGATAAAAACCTGGTAGCATTTACTACTGCAATCGGGGGCCCCGATAACAGCCTGCTCGAAAGTGAAAATGATGTGAAAACACCATCAATTGCCACGAGCATGACTGAAAATCAATTTCTTCTATCCGAGTTCAAACAACCAGCAACCGAGCACGTTGAATATCAATAGCCTTACATCCTTGAGGTGGTTGAGATTTTCCCTCTTATCCATGATCCTGGGCTAATCTTTTACCATGACGTTCTACCACCGAGACGAAAAGATCCGGTCAAACACCCGACACCGAACGAGGGTACCTTTGACAAACATGGAGCTGCAAGGTTCATGCCTCCTTTGAGGCCACCTATGAAGCCGCCATGGACCGCTTGAAGAAAGCAGAGCAATAAGTCAAGCCAATGACACTAAAAAAAGGCGCTTGTTGGGAGGCAACCCAATGGTGTGCGACGATCGTGACTTCTTCTCTTTGATAAGGTGAACTCTTTCCTTTTACCTCCTATTTTGCTTTCTTATTTATGCAAACTCTAAGTTTGGGGAGGCCCGTTAGTGTGAGATGTCTATGAGCTTGAGTTGATGTCCTAGCATATTTTTCTTGACTAGTGTGAGTTTATTGGTATGTGGAATTTCGCAATGATGATTTGAGTGTCCATTAATGTTAATGTGCTAGTTATGATGACTTGGATTAATGATGGGGGTGTCTATATGTACACCCCCTTGTGTGTAAAAAAGGGGTGTACATATAGCATTGCCCTTTGTGTAATTTATTAAAAAGGGGTGTACATATAGCATTGCCCTTAATGATTTCTGGTTAAATTCTTGAAGTGTTGTTATTTGAGGGACAAAGACATGACAATTAATATTTATGTGTTTTATTCATGGTGAGTTGGTCTCGAACTGTTTAGATTTTTGAAATGTGCTAGTGATTATTCTGCTTGATGTCGATTGTGTGAGGTGACTTGACGTGGAAAGTTGGGAGTTGAATGTCTCGAAAAAAAAAAGAAAGAAATAAAAAAATGGTGTGAATAATGAAGGTGGAGGAGAAAAATAATATGTCTTGGAGAAAAAAAAAATCGTGGACTGCAACAGCTGCCAGTCTGTGAGCTTTAGTGCATCACTCTAGCACGAATAGCTAAACACCATAGACTGTGACGGAGCTGCCGTTCCCAAAAAAAAAAAGAAAAAAAAACCGAGACGTTTGATTTCTGGCTAGAAACGAAGAGGAACTAAGCCGATTGGCAAAGAAAGGGATGTCGTTAGTTGCATGATTGTTATACTCGGTGAAGAGATTGATGAACTGTGGTGATTCACTGAATTGATATTTGATTGTTGGCGTTCTAAAGATGATTTCATTTTGAGTCCGGGATTATTAACTTGAGAAGTTGTAGCTATGCACTTATGTGAGATGTGTGAGGACCTGAGTGAATATTCCACGTACTTGTTTATATCCATCTATGTGGTTTTAGTTCTAAGTTGCTTGGGGACAAGCAACAGTTTAAGTTTGAGGAGATTTGATAGGTCGGAAAATGTGCTTATTTTATATAGTTAATGGTGTATTCTTAACACTAAATTTATTCGCATATTTATATTTTTGGACCTATTTATTATTTGGATGGATTCATATACATTGATATTTTTATATTTAATTTTTTCAGCTCATTGAAGTATTTTGTGTACGCGAAGCATTGAACGGAATTCATGTGATCAATTATCGAGCGCCCAATACCCATCAGTTGAGGCCCAAGAATGAATATTAAATAGCCCAATAGATTGTGTTACGTGGGCATAAGAGGGCTGATTTGTATAATTGTCAATTGAAATTGAATGTGAAAAAAAATAAAAAGTGAGTCTCACTTGTGCTGGGAGGAATTTGAGTAGCTAAAGGAACTTGGAATTAATTTCCAACACATTGGGGGACACTCACGTATTAAAAAAGCGAGGGCATTATTTACGCAGAAAAAAAAAAAAACAGAAAGCCGAGAACAAAAACGGGAAAAAGGGAGAGAACGCACGGATCGGGGAAGAAGCCTACACACGCGGAGGGAAGCCGCACCCGTACACGAGGGAGATATTTATCTTCTCTCTTTTATCTAGATTTTATTTATTTTTATTAGTATGTTAGACTAGTATCTTTATCCAGTTTGAGGGGATGTTGAACCCTAACTTTGATTTGTCTATGAATTGAAGGATTTATTTTTATCGCTTGGTTAATTGAGACGTCCTATTTATTTTTGTTGATGAGTTGATTCATGTTATCTATGTTTAATGTTTATGAATTATGATGTTTGATTTAGTTTGGCCAGCTACGTTGAATATTCATTGTTTAATTGCTAGAGACAAGACTTTAATCCGTAATTGTTATTGTCTTGTTTCGTTAGTAGTAAACTAGGGGTCGTGCATCCTTAGGGTAGCGTGAACATAAGTTAAATGGTCCGAACTTACGCGTCTGTTGCTTAGACTGATCTATTTTCCTAGAGATTAATGCTGCTAGTGTACTAAATCTAGAGAGCTTATTCTAGGTTGTCCACTGGTTAGGTTTAGTCGAAGAAGCCTATTTCGATTAAATATTCAGTAAGGGAAAATTCGGTTAACAGAGCTTGTTGTTAGCTAGGGTCGGTAATTCATTAGCAATTTAAAGAAGGCTTTGAAATTGATTAACGGTAGATTTAGATTGGGTGATAACTGAACCGAAAACTGGACTTCTCTTATTTTATTTGATTTTTATTTTATGTTGTTATTTTTATTTTTATCAAAACAATCCCCCCATTTACTGCTTTCTTAGTTTGAATTCGATTAATACAAAAAATTGTCACGACTTAATTCCTGCTCCTCGTGGGATCGACCCTTGCTCGCCACTACTACTAGTTAGTAGAGGTTAGTTGAGGAAAATTTATAAATTTAAATTTGCCGCGTCGTGACACGCGGTCAATAAATAAATAAATAAATATAATTACAAACAACACGGAAATACATTAATAATTAATTTCCACACTTACTGGGGGAGATGTGCAAAATTCGATTCCCACGTGCCATACAGACGATCGATGGCTTTTTTTCTCCCGTGCCACGCCTTCTTATAGTTGACATCGACGCTCCAGGCGCTTTTTACGTCGGCCTGCACCATTTCCACACTGTAGGTCACCTGATTCTGAATCTTAGCCAACAGAAGATTTGAGATCATGGTGGCGGTCACATTCTTATGGTCATTTCTCTCGAACACCTGCATGCAAGTGTGGCTATCGGTCCATTCCATTACCTCCCACATGTCGTGAACCCGTGTGTTAAGACTCACCCGAGCCTTCCATATACATGGTGAAACTTCAGCCGATCTACACACAACTTTGAACGACTTCTTGTTGTTTGTACTGTTTTTGTCGTGATTTTTCTTATTGTTCTGTCATTATTTTTGTATCATTTCATGTCGTTTATTTCATTATTCATGCGATTAATAGTGTATTGAGTGTTTTTCTTTTGTTCGTGTCGTATATAGATTATTTCGATTATTTTTCTCTATTTCCTCTATTTTGTGCGTTGATGGTGTGTAGGTCCAAAAATCCGACGGGGCTGTTCTTATTTTACCGGAGGGGTTTGAATTAGCTCCTTCCGATCGTATTTCGCCCGAATCATTCGAATAATATTTTGAGCCGATGACTTGTGATTGATAGAGAAATTTGTCAGCTACGCATGAGAAAAAACGAAATTAAATTTCGGTTTCAAACGAAGTCGTACGAACCAAAAACGTAAAGTCTAGCAAACTACCGACCCATTAATGGTTGAAAATTCCATAAAATTTGTATTCTGGGCAAAAGTGTGGTTTGCAAGCATCATTGAATAGAGGAGTTCGTTAGCTACGCGTAGAAAAAAACAGAAGTCAATTCCGAGTTCGGACGAGCCCAAACGAGCTCAAAACGTGAAGCCATGCATTTCGTCGCGCAGCTCCGCGGCGCGAAGACCCTCCGCGGCGCGACGAGAACATCCTCCGCGGCGCGAAGACCCTCCGCGGCGCGACGAACACATCCTCCACGTCGTGAAGACCCTCCGTGGCGCGACAAACACCTTCTCCACGGCGCGAGGATCCTCCACGGCGCCCAAGACCTTTCACACCATTCCTTCACGCCGGGAAGGAAGCACACGCCGCGACCACCTTTCTCCTCCGCGCCACACATCACGCCGTGAACTACAACCCCTCCGCGCCGTGAAGAAGAGCTCCGCGCCGTGAAGAGAAGGTGCTCCGCGCCGTGAAGAGAAGGTCCTCCGCGCCGTGAAGGGAGAGCTCGCGCCGGGAAGAGAAGGTCCTCCGCGCCGTGGAGGCGTTGTGCCTCGCGCCGTGACACCTCTCCGTCAAGAATTTCTGCTCGAGCCGTCAATAGTTAATTCGCAGCGTCAAGAATTTCTGCCTCGAGCCGTCGCAGTTAATTCAGCCGTCAGCACTTAATTCGCGCCGTGCCGGTTGTGCTCCACTTGAAAGATTTGTCGCCGTCAGCAATTAACTCTCGAGCCGTCACTTGAAAGATTTGGTCGCTGTATGCCGTCACTTGAAAGATTTGGTCGCTGTATAAATTCATGCCTCTGCGAGATTGGAAAGCATTCAGATTCTTTCATTGTTCTTTTTCTTTCTTTCTCCCCTGCTGGGGAGAAGATTTTATTCTTTCCGTTGTATTTTGGTTTGTAATATTTATTGTTCGAGTGTTGATCGATTTTTCGACGATATCTTCGGCAATTTGGTTTGTAAGCTATATTACTCGTGCGTTGATTGGCTTCCCTACGACATTCTCTGCATCTCGGTTTGGTTCTATGTTGCTCGTGTGTTGATCGGTTTCCCGAAGGCTTTTCCGGCAATTCATTCGATTGTAAGTTTCGATTTTCATTAGCTTAATCGTGCATTAGGAAATTAAGGACTTTGTTCAAAGACTTAATATTCCGTATTTTGTATCTAGATTGCGATCTCGTTGTAGAAGTAATTTAGAGTGTTTTGGCTAATGATATTCGGTTTGTGTTTTTGTGTTTATTAATGTGTGTTGTTGAATTCGTTATTAGTAAAGTCGTGACTCATGTTTGAGCTCGGCTATTCCGAAGGTAACGTGTTTAACGTCATGTTCTCGTTATTGCGGACTTAGTTATTAAGACGCAATGTTCATTTATCCTTAGTGATCCGTTTTCGGAAGTTAAGGTTGTTCGGTCTCATTTTAGTAATCTTTAGTGATCCGGTTCGGAGGCTACAGGTTTGTAGTTATAATATTTCAATTTGCTTTGTCTATTTTATTAGCGTATTTATAATTAATCCCAACAATCCTTTGATTAGAATGTTTAGGAATTTATTTTTTTTGGTCTTGTGAAATTGACGACTAGATAGTAAACGACGCTCCGAACAGTCTTCCTTTGAGAACGACCCGAGTCCGGATAGCTCGGTTACTAAATTATCCACTCACAAAAATACTGCAAACACTTGTTCGAATCTTTTGTCCGGACCGCCCAAAGATTCTCAACGTTCCAGGCCATAACACCAGTCTGGGCTTCTTCCTTGGTACGAAAAACTATACCCAAACGGATAGTCTCGACATGCCCATCCTAGAGTGGCAAGGCATACTCGTCCCTGTCTACACACGACGAGTCTCACTCACCCATCTCGCGATATACATGGAGGCCTTCATTTGGAAATGGGTGTTCTTCAATGTATTCTTGTTCGCTCTCCTCATTAATTGATCTGTCCTATTCGGTTTCCGAGGTCTCATCAGTGAAATCGTCTTCACCGGGACTGAAATCTTCATCTCCAACAATTTCTTCCTCAATGTCCGGTCCTCTCATGGTAAAGCTCGTCCCTTCGCCGAAATTACTCGTCCCTTCACCAAAATTACCGGCATGCGTAGTCCACGTACCCTCATCACCAAACACTCCCCCATAACCATATGATGGCGTAGGATCTTCAACCTGTGTAACCTGTGTGTTTGCTTCCAACACTATATACAAAAACACAACGGACATACGAGAAAAGTAGTAAATCCACGCAAGAGCACTATCATTATCCAGTCTTGCGGGAATAAACGAACCATCCGATTGTTGGACCATGAAAGTAATATTCGAAATTGTCCAACTATCACGAAATCCACCATTTTCGTAAATCATATCTACCAATTGTTCATATTGTAAGAAACTGGGGGAAAACGGGTGCGGTCCCACTAATATGAAGCTCACCATGAGAGGGAAAACCCATATAAAGCCCAAATGGGGTTCCATCCCAAAACCAATTGGTGGAAGGAGGAGTAGCCCATTAGACTTATAAGGTGGGTCTATTTTCCATGTATGAACGATGTGGGACAACTCACAAGTGATATTATTTTCCATGTATGAACGATGTGGGACAACTCACAAGTGATATTCTAATACGCCCCCACACTTGTGAGTCCTTCGGAAGCTTAAGCCCAACTGGGTGCCCCAAGCCTACTAGAAGTAGACTCCCATAAATGGGTAAGTCATCGCATAGTCTCAATAGAACCGGCTCTGATACCATGTAAGAAACTGGGGGAAAACGGGTGCGGTCCCACTAACATGAAGCGCATCATGAGAGGGAAAACCCATATAAAGCCCAAATGGGGTTCCATCCCAAAACCAATTGGTGGAAGGAGGAGTAGATTAGACTTATAAGGTGGGTCTATTTTCCATGTATGAACGATGTGGGACAACTCACAAGTGATATTATTTTGAGGAATTTGCACGCTCCACTTAAACAATCTAAAAATATTATATAATTACATCTCATATATAATTATTTATAAATTAGCTAAATTTGTTATATTTATTTACATATGTACCTAAAAAGTAATTTCCTATTTATATGGTAACTTCTCATCAACTACATCTCTCTTGTTCACACACGGCTCTCTCTTTCTCTCTCTTTGCTCTCTCTTTCTCTCTGCACACAAAACCCTCCACCGTCCGCACCACCGCAAATAAAAAGGTTGTAAAGTTTTCATTAATCTATCCCAGGTTTTCATTAATCCGGTCTTCTCAAAAAAAAAAAGAGCGTAAATTTCCATTAATCTGAGTTCATGACCCTGTTTGATTTTACGGCTCATTGTTAAAATCCACTATATCTCCCTATATTTTCTTTTATTATTATTTTTTATTTTACATTTCCGTACATGCTATATATAAGTTTTTGATTTTGTATATACAAAAAAAAGGCCGTGTGAAAGTTTAAGTATATATTTGTTTTTTTTTTTTTTGTTAATGTTAATTATCATGTATTTATTACGTTTGTGTTAATCAGATGATGGGGGATCAAGTGGAGAAAAGGTTAAAGATGCTAAAGCAAAAAAAGAGTCGTAAGTGAAAAATTAAAATTGATTCCAAGTATGTTTTGTAGTATTTTATTTGTTTTGTTGTTAATGATAATGTGTATACTACTGTTCTATTTTTGTTTTCATAGATCTTGGGGGATGGTGCCGACAACCACAAGTACCGAATTCCGGCGACGCCGAGGAAGAAGATGGTGCGGGCGGAGAAGAGGGACTCGTCGAAAACTGACTACTTCAAATCGCTGGAGGTTGAGGCCTTCCTAGCCAGATTGGAAGCTCACTGGGGACATGTTCGTGGAGTATATGTAAGTATATGTACGTGGAGTATATTGTCGTGGAGTATTGTTTGGAGTATAGCTACAGTATATGTACAATATATGTTTACGTCATTATATGTTGGATGTTGCGTGTATAGACAATAAGTATATGTGATGTGTATAGGGAGTATATGTTTAGTATATTAGAAGATTTTTTTGTAAATTGTTCGGTATATGTTGTGTGCATATGAAGTATATGTTTAGTATATGTTCTGTATATTTATTTAGAAGATTATTTTGTATAAAGAATATAAATCATCTGTTATAATATGTTTATAAACTATATTTATACTTTTATTTATTAAAAAAAAAAAGGAACGCATAATGAGTTGAAGGAAGACATTTTTTCATTGTAATATATACAGAATATATACTAACATAAACGCAATACACCACCTGATCAATAGTTAGTATTTTTTCGGTGTATTTTCAGTATATTTTCGGTATATCCTCAAATGAGCAATATGTATAAAAAAAATTATATTACAGTTAAAAATTTAAAGCCAGAATATTTTCAGTATATTTTCGGTATATCCTCAAATGGACAATATTTAAAAAAAAAAAAAGATATATATACCATTTAAAAAGATATATATACCATTAAAATACGCTTAAAATAAACAATATATATACCACTAAAAACTATATATATACAATTAAAAAACTAAAAAAATCCATTTAATGAATAATCAAATATAGAACAAAAAATATAATATAAAAGAAGGAACCAGAATTTTTTTTTTCCATACATGAACCATATTTTTTTTTTTTGTTTTTTTGGAGATAATCATTCCATACATGAACCAATTTCTTTTTCTTTTTTGTATTTGTAATGGTATATATCTCTAACAATTAAGGGTATTTGTAACGGAATCTATGCGATGATTAAGGGTAGAAGACTTTATTTGTATGTTTAGTTATTTGAGGTATATCTCTAATAAAATTCTAGATTTTAGGTATGGATACAATTAAAATTGTTCCACTTGTAAAAATGTAATAATTTGTAATTCTGACAGGAATGGTGAAAATTTCCCTATTATTTTCCATGTATGAACGATGTGGGACAACTCACAAGTGATATTCTAACACATATGATATTTTTTCATTAATAATAAATGAACAATCCGGATGAGCCAAATAATTCGAAAAATTCTCTAACTCAGTCTGAGGAATTTTCCAGTACACGTTAACAAAGTAGGGACCTATAGACGCCATTTATAACCTGTTGCATAAAAAAAAAAAATTAATCATATTTTTACTCCAACTAAAAAACAATAGCAAATACCCTAATCACCACAATCCAATAATAATCCAACAATAATCCAACAATAACATCAAATTCATAAACAATTCGGATAAATATTCAACATACAACAAAAACTCTAATCACCACCAATACCCTAATTAATCACCATAATCCAACAATAACATCAAATTTATAAACAATTCGGATAAATATCAACATACAACAAAAACCCATCATACAATAGCTAATTATAATCATTTAACACAACAATTAAGCCAATATTCAAGATTTCCTAAACAATACTCAATTAACCAAATATATCTATTAAACATTTATAAACAACAAAAAAATGATACTACATTACATTAAAATTAAAACTAACCTATTCTCCGACGATTGGTTGAATTTTTTTTTTTTAATTGGCCTTCAAATCGCCAAAAATCGAACAGAAAAAAAAAAATGTTGAATGAATGTTTGTGGTCGGGAGAGGAGTTTGCAGCTTTTTATATCAACCAAAAAACAGATTTTGATAATCCGTTTTTCATTTTTTTTAAACAAAACACGGATATCCCAAATCCGTGTTATAAAGTAAATTTATTTTTATTATTAAATTCCACCGAGAGTTTCGACCGTTAAATAAAAAAAATAGATGTAAAATAAACATGGATTACCAAAATCCGTGTTTCGAATAAAAATTTAATTAGAAACACGGATTCGAAACACGGATTATGAGAATTCGTCCGTTTTATTTTTTTTCCACATTTTTTTTTTTATTTTTTGCCACAGATTTTTTATTTTTTTTTAAAAAAAATAACCCACCCTGTATTCGTTACTATCATTTGAGAGAAAAAAAAAAAAAACTTGAACTAGGTGCAAACCGTGCGAGGGTCGGTGGATTGACACGTGACTCTAAACGTCAGACCGAACAAAAATAAAAGAAAAAAGAAATCCGCAGTCGAATGCAATTCTTGTTCTTGTCCTTTCACTCTCTTCTCCAAACATTCAATTATTCATTTTACTTATAATTTATTGCCAGACAACAACAACGACAATATCATAAATTACGAACGAGGAACTCTAATTGAACCGATCATTCCCTTATTCCCGACACTCTTACCTGATAATAAAGCACTCGCCCAAGTTTTGCCAAAACCCACTTCCATACGAGGTAAACTGCCGGAACTGATAATATTTTCTTGTTCTCTGTTTCTGCTAATTTTCTTGAAAAAAAAAACACTGATTTTGTTACCCCACTTGATGATTATTGCTAATATATTGTAAAGATTGGTTTTTTTCAGTTGTTGATCTTGTGGGCTTAGGGTTTCTTGTTCGGTTTTTTGAGAAAGCATCTTTACTTATTGTCCGGGTTAATAATAACTAATAAATATTCGAATTTTAGTGAAGCAGGAAAGTAGTAAATATGCAGCAGCCAGGGCCGATGTTTCCTGTCATGCCCTCATTTCCTCCGACCAATATCACCACCGAGCAGATTCAGAAGGTATTTCTCTTAATTTCGTTTTTGTGAATTTGATTGAGGCTGTGTTTCTATGCCACCTGGACTCGGATATGGGTGGCGTATCGGGTGTGGAGATATGAGCGTCCGACTCGTCAATAGTTTAGAAATCTTGAACATTTTAGGCTAAAATGCTACACCCGACACTCATAGCCACACCAGTGTCGACACAACATGACACGGGTATTCTTCCTAAAGAAGAGTCCGGGTTTGGCTGAAGAAATTTATATTGGTCAGGATTTTTCTTGCTGTGATGTGAAGTTTCATTGTTTTCTCCCCCATATTGTTGTGGAAATTTGAAAGTTGGAGTTTAGTATGCCAAGGATGCCGCTTTTCTTTGAGAATTTTTCGTTTTACTTTTAACGAACAAACTTATGTGCTATACTCTTGTTAGAGATTATGCATTAGTTGCTGCAACTGCATGCAAATGCATGGGTTTACTTTTATAATGTGGACAACGTTGTTTAATGTGTTTAAGGCCATTTACTCTATGGCCAGAGGATTTGGTTATTCACCTTATGTAGAAATTGATCGAAATAGGTCAATGAGAAACATCATGAGACATGGGTGGAGTGTGATCGGAAAAGACAATTATGGAGATTTGGAGTTAATGTGTATGAGATGTGGATTTGTGTACTTGAGTGGCTGTCAATTGTTTAAAAGATCATTTTTCTTTGGTAAAGGATGATTATTTGTGTATGCTGTTGGACAACTACTTGTTTGTGTCCTTTACAGTGATTTCTAGAAGATAATACCTTTGAATCCATTAATGTTAATCAAGCTTGGTCAAGAGAATTCTGGTTCGGGGATAGAGAGTTGACTTTTTTGATTGTGGTGATGGCCCACATGCTATTGTTAAAAGAAGGAATGGTCATTTTTTTTTTAATGTAAACGAACCCTTTTCAACGAAATTTGAGTAAATTTGATGGAATCATGAGTGACGCGGTATATTTGTAGATAATGGTGACAATGTTTTGTCGTTACTCTGGTTAAAGTGCTCTCTATATGAAACTAGTAACAAATCGTGGCAGCTTCTTAAGGCTTCCTTCATAGGGCCAGAAAGTTAATTAATGCCTCAAATGAGTTATATCTATATTTGTGTGCATATTTAGCACTATAATAAAAATATAAAATCAATACTTGAAGGGGATTGGATTGTGAAGGGAACACTTTTAAACGTGTCTTTACGAATAATGATTTGAAAAAAATAAAAGAACATTTTTTATTTTTATTTTTTTGTTGCTTAAAATGTCATTTTAAGTTTTAATGAACATACCCTGATTGGTGGTTATAATTATCATCAGAACTAACCATTGAAATTTGAAAGGATTGCTAGCAAAAGATATTGATGTTCACTTACGTGTATTAAATATATAATGGGGTTAGATTATTCTCCTAGTACATGGAATTTTATATATAATATTACTGATGATGCCGGTTATTGCTGTTACATCTGGAAGATTTTTTTAAATTAAAATAACCCATTCAAAGTGAGGTCAAAGATGTCACGAATTAGAACAAATGAAGTAGCCATTTATCTATTGAGTTATGTTGGAAGAAGCTGATTGTAAACTTTGATAGGCAATTTTGCATTATAAAAATTAAAATGAGTCATGCAAGGTACATGGAGTATCTGTGGCCCTCCCTAGAATCTTGCGTAAGGCCTCCATATTACATTTATTGATTAAGAATATGCTGCATGAATTTGGCATGCGGTCTTATCTGAGGTATGCCTTTGATCGGAGGCAAATCACTAAATTAATCCTGAATTTGTTCAAGAATTACCAAATACGATCATGTTGAACTTCAAAATGATACTTGGCGAATGATATTATGGCTCGATCCTCAAATAATGGTAAGAATTGTGTAAAATAACTCCACTGTAATTATTTTCAAGCTTCTGTAGGATAAGATCAGAGTTTTTTTTTTTTTTTTTTTTTTTTTTTTTTTTTTTTTTTTTTTTTTTCCCATCATGTTTATACAAATTACCATGTAAACCAATGAGCTTGATCACTAGTAGTTGAATGGATATGGTCCCTTTGATTTTGTGGAAATGCACTAAAAGTCTGAAACTCCCTTTGTCCCATAAGTTAGACATGGTTACTATATTTATTGTCCCACAAAGTTTGTTTACTTTATTATTACATCATGTTTTGTTTATGAACTCATTTAATTTACATTGTTATCAAGAAAATAAAATCTATAAAATGTAATAGTTATTAAGTCAAAGAGTGAACTACGAAATCCTCCTAAAGTTAACTTTCCCAATAATGGGCAGGCGGGTTATGATTTTTGTAATGGATCTTAAAATGCACCAGTTGCACATAAATATTATTTTTAGTGTATGCATGCGTTTGCGTTTTGCAGAGAATGATAGCATGCAGGTACTAAGCATACTTTTGATATATCAGCGTCATGTAAAATTTAGTAACTAAGACTTCTGTAATTCGACATCCTTGGTCTCCTAGTAGCTGTGAGCGCAACATATTCTAAAGAGGTTTCTGTTTCACTAAATTGAACAACATTTGTTACAGATATGTTTGGGAATGAGCTCTAGGTTTACTAACATAAGCTTTAACATTAGAGCAACATGTTTCAAAAGAGGTGGTGGAATTCATGCACTCTTTCACTTGTTTTAAGAGCTTATGGGTAATTATCAATCTTTAGTTCAGTATAGAATGGTAAAAATGACTATTTAACTTGCTGAGGACACCAACCATTCCAAAGTGCCAGAGCTTGTAGTATTTAAGCTTTTTAATATGGAAAGATTCTTTTGTGAACTTTGTGGATTAGATATTTGATAGGCTGAGATAGGTGCAGCCTCCTCTCTTCAGTTTACTTGCCATTTTTGCATGAGAGGATGCCTTGACTCCTCCTTTGTCGAACTATTCTATGTTGGATCTGAATATGGATTGATGTAGCGCAGAGTTAACGAAAGGGACAAGAGAACAAATCTCAAAATTTCTTCTGTTTATTCAAAGCCAACCCAACCGATCGGTTAGATGAAGAATAAGAGATATGTAGATCCTAATAGAGTCCTAAAAATTCTTCTGTTTCTACCCGCGGTCGCTGATGAAAAGCCCACCGCTGCAGAAGCTCCGCCTAGGAGAATATGCGGCTGGCCGTGGAGGCCATCTGGCCTTCCTGGCCCTCCACTGAACCTGCGAAGAAACCGTGCGTGGCGTCTGTGAGAACGCCGAACTCGATCACCAACTGTTGCTCCACGAGTAGAGCGCGTTGGTGAGCTTCGGAGATTGTATCCGGCGCAAATAAATTTAGGGTATCTTGAATCGCCAAACGCAGCCCTCCAATATATCTGGACACCAATTGATTGACAGTCTCACGTACATCAACTAGGTTGAGAAGACGATAAAAAACATTTGTATAGTCATCAACGGATCTTGCGCCTTGTCGCAAATTCTGAAGCTCGTGATACATGGTATGAACAAAATTAAACAGGAGAAACGTTCGATATGTTTACGAAACTTGGCCCATGATGAGATCTTCGGTTTCCTGAGCCGATGCCGTGAGTCCTTTAGGTGCTGCCACCATGCAACAGCCCGACCGAGAAAACGCGTGGCGACAAGGCCTACAGCGACTATCTACTCCTAGACCGACTCGACTGCTGCTAGCCAATCGAGAAATTCGGCTGCATCGAGCCCTCCTGTCAATGTCCACGCGAAAAGACCCCTCCCAGCGCGGGTCACCGGCCGCGTCTCTTCTTTATGTGGATCTTCATGCTCGAAGGAATTCAACTCCTCCACCGTGGCATCAGAATCGCCGTTCTCCTTGTACGGCGCCCCTCGTCTGCCACCAACCCGCGCCTGACCGGGACCCCTGCGGCCACCACGAAACCCACCGCGAGCGTCGCGGCACCGCCTCGTCCATCGAGCCCGTCGCGGTTCGTTTGATCGCGGTGCATCATCGTTTGTAGAGCAAATCGAATTTCTTCCATGCCCGCCCCAAGGTCCGACATCTCACGACCAATCGCTTTCCGAAGCCCTCGGCTGTCGAGTGAGGGATTCGATGGCGGTGTCGCGCCGATCATCTGCAGTGTCGTTCCATTTTGGTGGCATCTCAGATCGTAGCGCATCGTTAACGAAAGGGACAAGAGAGAACAAGTCTCAAAATGTCTTATATTATTCAAAGCTAACCGATCGGTTAGATGAAGAATAAGAGATATATAGATCCTAATAGAGTCCTAAAACTTCTTATTTTCCCATCTTGCCTACCAAGTTATAACTATGCTAGATATTAAATATATTCTTGCCAACTAAATAAAGCATAATGATAAGAGGAATATGAATAAGTAAATAAACTAGAGCCGGAGCCGATCGTATTTGTGCAAATAGGCGAGCGATCTCGTCTCCATCATGGATCGAGCATGCGAAAGTGAACAAATAATCAACAGCTATCATGAATATGACGGTGCCTGTTTCCTTCTATATACTATTTACTACCCTATTTCCAGTATTCCTTGTATTAATTTTGACAGAATTACTAATTACCTTAGTACTATCTAGTTTTGACAATCAGATTTTCCTAACAATTCACGTTCTTGATATATGACATTGTTGTCTTTCGCAGTACCTTGATGAGAACAAGAAACTGATACTGGCAATTTTGGACAATCAGAATCTTGGCAAACTTGCTGAGTGTGCCCAGTATGTGGTTCTCTTCCTCTCTGTCGATGTTTCGGTCTTCTTACTTGTTATGAATGTATGAATTCTAATGAATTGTTGGTTTTAGATTGGCCTTTGTATAGTTTACTGACTAATGCAATTTAAAAACTATCGGTAGTCTGATCATTAGGGATGTTGATGTTTATATAGTCACTTGTGTTGGAACTCCCAAATTGTTGACTAGAGAAACGAGTACATTGTTTTTATCTGAAGATTAATCTATATGCATGGCCTTGTACTTGTTTGGATCATGGGTGATCAGGTATCAGGCTCAGCTTCAAAAGAATTTGATGTATTTGGCAGCAATAGCCGATGCGCAGCCGCAGACACCAGCCATGCCTACCCAGGTATGTTTAGCGATATTTTTTTATTTTTTTATTTTATGATTCACACTACTGTGACCAATTTCCCAAAACTAAACTCTTTATTATTTAATAAAACAATATCGACAAATAAACACGAGTTAAATACTATGATAACAAACAATATATA